CATCTTCCAGATCATTTCAATATCCTGTTCAATACGTATACTCCTTTCATCCCACCTATAACCCGCATATAAAACTGAAGTAGCCATGCGATAACATTTATACAGGTTGTACATCTAACTCGACAATGAATCTCGGTTGCATTATTAATCGTCATCAAAACAGCCATCTATCCCCAACACTTAAGAATCCAATACTTTTGACTAGAATATTCATTCTAGGAAAACTGAAATTGAAAATATTATTGTTTTCTAAAAATCTAAATGCTCACATGTATTTCATAAAGTGGCGTTTTGAAAATGATCGTGTGAGTCTCTGTTACATCTACAGCAGTCATCAGAGGCTTCATTTGTCCTCAATGCTTAAGAAACAAATCTCCCTTATCAGAAAATTTTTTCTAGGAAAATTGAATAAATAATGTTATGCTTGGAACAAACGTTTATTAAATAATATCAAAATTCAGGTAACTTTTGTTATATCGTAAAAGTGAAAAATCCATTTTTAATGAAGAAATATAATTCATAAATGTAGTTTATAGTACCTTGCAACAAACGTTTATTAAGTAATATGAAAATTCAGCAAATAATATAAATGCTCTCACGTGTTTCATAAATTTTCCATAAATACAGGAATGTCTGCAATAACATTATAAATGTAATTTATCATTCTAAAATGTAAAACAAGATTGAATCCAAGAATGTAATTACTTACTTTTAAGGATTACTTACTTCCAAGATATAATAATAGATCCATAAGTTCTTTTTACAATACGCGCGTTTGATGATGTTAGTCAGTTTTAATCTTTTGGTTGGTGCACTATTGTCCAAGCATTTGCAAGTAAAAAAAAATTAATTATTTCAATTGCTACACAAATTGTCTTTGATGATTCGCCATTCAAGTGCAAAGGATTCCGATTTAACCAGCTTTTTTTCTAGAAATCTTCCTCATGAATCAGACTCATCGAAGTAGGACAGAGAATTAATGACAATTTTACAATATTGCAGAATTATTTAAGACGGTTCGCTTTAATTTAAAACGAGCTTGCCTGCCTCCGCCTCCACCTCCAGGCACAGTTCTTTCTTCCTGGTAGTCGAAGATTAATCGATAGCTTTTTTCCAGCCCGAGGCGTCCAGCCAGGTCCGTTAACGTCTCGACCATTTGTTTCGAGATTAAGATCACGTTCTCCGGACGCTTCAATCGCAGAATACAAGCTGGGATACGCGGACACAGCAATTTGCTGCACGCTGCTTGCCCAGAGGGAAATCACCGAGCTTGTGTATACGTTATACGCGCGGCCAACGGGGATGATAGTGTGCAAGCCGTAGTAACGGGGAGGTGTTAATAGCTGGAGGTAGTACCGACGTGAGCTCGGTACTTAATATGATTGACAGCACGAATGAGTAATTAACAACCGAGTCGCTTTCATGTGCAACCCGCGCGACTCGGCGACGCGCGGATGAGGGTGCGTTCGCCGCGACTCGCTTCTATAACGCGGTTATCCTAAGTTTAATTACTCTAACAGATATTTTAGGAACGCTGATAATGCTCGGTCGCGCGTGCTCGCGACACCCGATGTAAACTGCCAACTATTTCCTGAAGAATGCCTCGCGCCTGCAGAAATTAATCTGCGACTGCGTCGAATTCTGTTTCTTTTATACTAACAAGGGAACATCGGCAACTCGGAAAATTCCAAGAGATCTGCAACTTTGCAGAAATGTAGTTCAAGTGATCCTAAAAACGAAACAATTTTCAAAGTATTCTATAAAACAGTTGAGGTGAAAACAACCCCGCAGAGATATTACGAATTTCTTTATTATTGTCAACGTTTTTCCAAAACGGTATAAGATCTTTAAAAATGGTTGCATACAAAGTTTTATTGTATTTTGTGCTCTATAATGTGGCTGTGAGTAATTGAGAGCAAGAACTTTTGTTCCAATTTAGTTCAACAAATCCATTCTAGTTATGTTTATATACAAGATTAAGTTTTAAAATAATGTGGCTGTGAGTAATTGAGAATAAAAACTTTTGTGTGTGTGTGTGTGTGTGTGTGTGTGTGTGTTTCAATTTAGTTCAACAAATCCACTCTAGTGAAGTTTATATACAAGATTAAGTTTTAAAACCAGTCCTCTCACTTCAACCATGTGGTTTTATTTACGGCTATTATTTTAGTCATTTTTTAAAAGAAAAATAATATTTACATTTATTGTACGTCTATAGTTTCTTCAATGATTAAATATAGATATCAACAGAATATAGAATTTTATTTAATTTTATTAGAAAGGACTGATACCCCCCCCCCCCTAACAGAGCTTGTTTGAAATATTCGCCACCAGTCTGTGACTCNACAGGAATGTCTGCAATAACATTATAAATGTAATTTATCATTCTAAAATGTAAAACAAGATTGAATCCAAGAATGTAATTACTTACTTTTAAGGATTACTTACTTCCAAGATATAATAATAGATCCATAAGTTCTTTTTACAATACGCGCGTTTGATGATGTTAGTCAGTTTTAATCTTTTGGTTGGTGCACTATTGTCCAAGCATTTGCAAGTAAAAAAAAATTAATTATTTCAATTGCTACACAAATTGTCTTTGATGATTCGCCATTCAAGTGCAAAGGATTCCGATTTAACCAGCTTTTTTTCTAGAAATCTTCCTCATGAATCAGACTCATCGAAGTAGGACAGAGAATTAATGACAATTTTACAATATTGCAGAATTATTTAAGACGGTTCGCTTTAATTTAAAACGAGCTTGCCTGCCTCCGCCTCCACCTCCAGGCACAGTTCTTTCTTCCTGGTAGTCGAAGATTAATCGATAGCTTTTTTCCAGCCCGAGGCGTCCAGCCAGGTCCGTTAACGTCTCGACCATTTGTTTCGAGATTAAGATCACGTTCTCCGGACGCTTCAATCGCAGAATACAAGCTGGGATACGCGGACACAGCAATTTGCTGCACGCTGCTTGCCCAGAGGGAAATCACCGAGCTTGTGTATACGTTATACGCGCGGCCAACGGGGATGATAGTGTGCAAGCCGTAGTAACGGGGAGGTGTTAATAGCTGGAGGTAGTACCGACGTGAGCTCGGTACTTAATATGATTGACAGCACGAATGAGTAATTAACAACCGAGTCGCTTTCATGTGCAACCCGCGCGACTCGGCGACGCGCGGATGAGGGTGCGTTCGCCGCGACTCGCTTCTATAACGCGGTTATCCTAAGTTTAATTACTCTAACAGATATTTTAGGAACGCTGATAATGCTCGGTCGCGCGTGCTCGCGACACCCGATGTAAACTGCCAACTATTTCCTGAAGAATGCCTCGCGCCTGCAGAAATTAATCTGCGACTGCGTCGAATTCTGTTTCTTTTATACTAACAAGGGAACATCGGCAACTCGGAAAATTCCAAGAGATCTGCAACTTTGCAGAAATGTAGTTCAAGTGATCCTAAAAACGAAACAATTTTCAAAGTATTCTATAAAACAGTTGAGGTGAAAACAACCCCGCAGAGATATTACGAATTTCTTTATTATTGTCAACGTTTTTCCAAAACGGTATAAGATCTTTAAAAATGGTTGCATACAAAGTTTTATTGTATTTTGTGCTCTATAATGTGGCTGTGAGTAATTGAGAGCAAGAACTTTTGTTCCAATTTAGTTCAACAAATCCATTCTAGTTATGTTTATATACAAGATTAAGTTTTAAAATAATGTGGCTGTGAGTAATTGAGAATAAAAACTTTTGTGTGTGTGTGTGTGTGTGTGTGTGTGTGTGTTTCAATTTAGTTCAACAAATCCACTCTAGTGAAGTTTATATACAAGATTAAGTTTTAAAACCAGTCCTCTCACTTCAACCATGTGGTTTTATTTACGGCTATTATTTTAGTCATTTTTTAAAAGAAAAATAATATTTACATTTATTGTACGTCTATAGTTTCTTCAATGATTAAATATAGATATCAACAGAATATAGAATTTTATTTAATTTTATTAGAAAGGACTGATACCCCCCCCCCCCCTAACAGAGCTTGTTTGAAATATTCGCCACCAGTCTGTGACTCGATATTATAATTCAAGGGCTTAATAAAAAAAAAAGCGTTTGATTTTTATTCTTTACTGGATGAACCAAGAAAATTTAACCTTAAAGGACGAAGATTTTGTGAAGTATTAAGAACAATTTCCTCAGAGAACTTGATCATCTATCACAGTAAGTAATCAAAAATGTGAATGATATATCCCTGATATTTGGTACGTATGTACATAAGCAAATTATATGTTTACAATTACTAAAGTAAGATTTAAAAACATAAAATTTAAAGGAATTCACTGTAAATATAAAAGTGTATGAACACTGTAGTGTTCATGATACTCACAAGTGTACGATTATATGCACTTTGGTCTAAGTCAAAATAATTCATTCTTTTATCTTTGATTTTTGTATTTTTTTAATGTTTATGTTAGTAGGTTTATAGTTAATGAGTTTTACAGGGAAACGATATTAGTATAAGTATAGAGGAGACACACCTATAACTGTGACTTTATAAAATGTATTACAAACATGTAAACCGGAAGTCATCCTAAACCTAAGCTTTGTAGAGAAGGATAACAATAAATAAATATATATAAATATAAATTTCTAAGTTTTAGATCTTTATGTGTAGCAATAGGATCTGAAATTTAGAAACTTATTTTGGATTTTTCCTTTACACTGCAGGTACCAAGAAAATTTACCGCATTCGCAGATATATCAAATAACTAGAACCGTAAAGTTTGATTTTCCGAAATTTATATTCCCTGCAGTTTACCAACCAGCAAGGTTATGCCAAGGGTGAGTATTTGTTCCAAGGGAAGGGAGTCGGTTTTCCAGGCAATCGAGAAATCCGCGAAGCTTCGCGTCTCCTCTCGACAAGAGCGGAGGTGGGGTGAAAAGACCTTTTAGCCTATTTAACGAAGCATAACACAGATTCACGCCCTTAACCTGAATTTTTTCCTCCAATTACCTTTCAAGCTGCAGGTCGATATGGAACCGGAAAGAGTCCTGGCGTGATTGGTCACGGCCAGCAGCAAAGGTGTGGCCGTGATGAAGCTCCTCGACTTCGGCACGAACTCCTTTTGCACCGCGTAGCTACGCGTCCGTCGCCGAAAAATCGGCGAGTCGAGGAAGCTCTCGTCGTACTGCGGCATTCTTACTATGGTGCCTCGATCAAACAACTCGAAATTCTTTCGTTTGCATCGTACTGTCCAATCGCCGTGATCCGACGCGTTCCTTCTGGTACTATCTTCTTCTTCATGTCGCACTTTCACCGAAGCGAATCAGAAGAACCCAATGTTCGTAACACTAGTGGCGATTCCGCAGATTTTTCACAGAAAGTATTGATTTTTATCAGAATTCTCAGTAAAATTGTTGTCCTTCATCAGGTTTCTCTCTGAAATTGTTGATTTTTATCAGGTCTCTCACTAAAACTGTTGATTTCTAACAGACTTTTCACTGAAATTGATTTTATCTGCAGCCACGACGAATTTAAGTGTCCTTTCTGGTTTAGGCACAAATGTAGGATGCAATAGTGTTCGTTATGCAATTACGTTCTTCTTCTTCTTCATGTTGAACTTTCACGGACGCAAATCACATGAACTAATTATTCTGCAAATTTTTCACTAAAATTGTTGCTTTTTAAAAGAGTTTTCACTAAAATGATTGATTATCATCTGTTGCCACGTCGATTTGAGTTTCCTTTCTGTTTATGGATGTAATAACGTTGGGAAGATTTTGTTCAGATGTTGCTGAGAGACCGTAACAATTTGGAAGTGAATTCTGTATTGTATAATATAATATCAATAGAAATGATTTTAAATATTTGTAATTCACTAAAGATACGGTAGGATATCCTACAACGAATAAATGCTAGAGCGAACATTTTTTTCTTATTAAAACAAAGTACTACAACAAACGCGGGGAAATACAATCGGCCGTTTTATAAATTATTTATAAAATATTAATAAATTAAATTTATAGTATGTATATTTGCATGTTCTTATACTTGTTTCATTTCATATTAAATTAATCCTATTCTGTGTGAAATCATTGTATTCGGTTAATAATTGTGCTGTGGTTTTTGTAATTATATTCGATAATATAAATATCAATATCAATCAACTAGAACGAATTAATTAGTTATACTTCACTGTAGTTTGGTATTATGTTATACAATAGCCGAGAAGACATAATTTACAATTTTTGTTAATAATAACAATCCACGACTTTTCCATACATTTTCTCAAAGTAAACAAGTCCTCAATAATAAAATATAGAGTGACTGACATTTCATACTATTTGTGCTGCTTCTTGCATTATAATAACTTACATAGTAATATTGGTTCAGAATTCTGTCATGAACATTTAAAAATCATTGCTATGAAATACAACATTGTCGCTTGAAAATAATTAACCGAAATAGGCTAACAATTTTACAGCATTCTGTCTCGTTAGCGTAACGTAGTACTTTTACGTTCATATTACATGAAATTAAATAACAAAGTAACTAATTCACAAATGTTTTCAATGATCCTTGCATGATGTAATTCAAAACTAAATAAGGTATAAAGTGCGAATAAATCAAATTATCTTGAATGTTGCAATTACATAATGATTGAACAACACGGGCTTATATTGCAGGTTCTGAATTACATCACTTCCCATTTAAAAGACATAATTGCATAACTGATCATTCGATCAAAATCAACAAGTTCACTATACTGGCACAGACCAATGGCGCCTAAAAATCATAGCTTCCTTCATAAACCAAATTACTTCGTTAAAGCCGTATAAAGAAATTACACTAATTAGACAGACTGTACACACCATACTAAATCGCGTTTCGCAAATCAAAATCGCGTGGAAATTTTCGAATTTCTTGAAACAGCAGTCGGTATACAAGTATTCTTACAATCCCCCCAAAAAGCCCAATAAAAAGTTATTCCGCTTTAAACGGTGTACGAATACTTTTTACACCGACTCTACTTGTTCTCGAATTATTTTTCACACTTGTCCAGAATGATTTTTATTGACTTTATAATTATTTCTCGTTGCCTCAGATCACTCGATGAGGATGAATATCATCGACGCTTGATCAAGAACGTTCAGACAAACAATAGATGAAATACAAGCACTTGATTTTCTTCACTTTCAGAAAAATATCGCTCGATATCGAATGATGGCAAGGCCATCGTTGACCGCTATCGAAAAGCGTATTATGAACCGCGGAACACGTGTAACCGCGCATGATCTCGTAGACAGTAAATTTAGCGAGCGATTACCAGACCACGCGGTAAACAGATAACACTGGTTGACGGTCGACTATTTGTTGAACTTTAATTCCAGTCTGACAAACTGGTCCGCGCGTAATAAATGATACACAATGTAATTACGTTATCGCGTTAGCTGCTACGATGAAAAATTACTCTCGGTACAATTAGTGGGTTATTTAATGGCGAAATCGTGGATCTTTAATGGCTCCTGAAAAAGAAACTGACTGAATACCGTGCTCTTTGAGAAAACTTCCCTCTGTTGTGAAATTTTATCTATCATTAATTATAACTAGACTGCGCATTTGATGCATTTATGACAAAAATGAGTGAAAGAAATGTGGAACTGTAGAAAGTTTCAAGGAATTTGAAAATGTCGCATTATTCTCAACATTTCTGTTTTATCTCGAGCAATTTGAATCTCTCTTGACATTATTTTGCAATTACTTTTGCAGTTTCGCATAAAAATCCGTAGTCTAATCATAACAACGATTATAAAGGCTTTTCTCATTTCCATAAAGGTCCATTTATAACACTGTTCGTTCGTGTGTTCTCTGAGAATGTAATTTTTAATTAAGGAAAGAGAAGCGATTAATTTTTAAAAAGAACTGATCGCTTGAACTTTCTGCATGAACAGTAGGTGGTAATTAAAAAATAGATAAGGACGTCATTCTACATGACATCAGAAGAAGGTAGAAGCGCGTCTTGTACACAACTGTAGACAATATAATCAATTTGCAACCAGGAATAGCAATTGATCGACGTTGTTAAAGTGATCGATAGTGAAATTGCGGATACGAAATGCACGGTTATTTCGATTATGCGAAACCGATGACAGTACGCCTAAAATAACAGAGCATGATACGTTTAGCGGCCTCGAGTATTATACCAAAGTAGAGTACCGAGGCATAGACCGCTTCCAGGATATCTATTTTAATGCGGTGGACGTTCCGTTACATTTTCTATCGCTTCCGTGTCTTTTACACAGTATCATAAGCACAGAATGGAGTACCATAAGCACTTCATACTGTCCTTCGATAATTAAATGTCCAATCGCATCGGGCACCAATACAGTAGCAGTGAAAAAACTTTTGAATGAAAGGAAACTCGTTGAATACAAGTTTCAAGGAACTCGTATCGAATTCACGAATTTAACGATAAGTGACCAACACAAATTCTAGAAGCACATTTGTGTTTTACGCACAATTAAACTGTTCTAGTAGTCCAATTTTGATGTTAATTCGATGAATAATGTGCATATAATACTCTTTGCATTCATCCCTTAACAACTATTCCTTCGATAATGTGCATTTATTAACTTTTACTTATCCCTTCTTGTTAGATCGCATAAAAAAGTTCTAAATTTGTTTGCAACTGTAAAGTAAATTCGTCTAAGTAGCGTAGAATGATATAATTTTTATGATAATGAAGTCAGTTATAACGGCATTTTTTTGTTGCATTTCTCAAGAGTCTTCACAATAATTATCTTTCAGAATGGTCCACTACACGTCTTTGCAATTTAATTACGCAAGTGTACATATATATATACTTCCGACCGAAATTACTGAAGTAGATATTAAATTAATGAGTCGCTTAATTTTTGCAATCGAAAGATTGACTCTCTACTACGTAACTACTCAGTCTCATACGAAACTCAAGGGAACATCGAACCAGTCTAGCATTTCACTGTAATTTTAATTCAATTACGTAATTTATATAATTTTTATTCAATTACACCGTAATTCGTAATTTTAATTCAATCGAATCGTAATTCGTAATCAATGTCATTTAATTACTGGTATTTTGTAATTGTAATTGTACTTGCAATTACGAATTACATTGTAATTTAATTGAATGAAGATCTGAACTACGAATTACAATGTGGTTGAATTATTCTGTAATTGGATTATTTTCTAATTATAGTTACTTGAGCAATGCAATTATAATTCTGCACAACTCTGGTTCAATGAAGATCATTCCAGAAATTATGCCACTTTCAAATCATAACGTTCTAAATTGGAAACGTGTGTTCTCGAATCTTTTGAAAACTGAAAGCACACCAGATAATTCGAATAAATCACAATGTTTGCAAACGTTTGAAAAGGAATTCGACGAGACGAAGGAAGCAAGCGTACCGACTATGCACTGATAAAAATGCATCGGCCAAGAAATAAGGTGGGTCGAAGGAGCAGGACTCCTCGAAGGCTCTATCGGTTTGTCGAACAAACGATTCGCGATTACTGGAGCGAGAAGTCTCCTCTCTGCCTTCGACCACCTACTATGGCTCCACGTCGCTTTTACTACTTTCGGAACGACACGACGTGTAGGTATAATTCGATAGCAGACCAGGAGGTCAATCGTGTAACTCGTTCCACGGTGGATTGAACACGAGGACCAGGTTTTTCTGGCTTGTTTGCTCGATCACTAAAATTATCGAGTTTTCTGAAAATATTTATACACACTTGCTGGTTACTTGCCGCCTTTGTCGAAGAAATGAAACGTGCCTTCGCCGGGACCGGCGGATCGAATGAAAGCGACCGATGAACACCAAAAAATACATGCGCTCGGCCTAAACGTGATACAGTTCACTGAAATGTAAGGCGATACAGATTGATTTTTCGCGACGGTTTATTGGCTTCGGAGAAAATATTATATGCCGGCAAAAAATTCTGACTTCGATTCGTGTCTACGATTTATTTTAAAATCTATGCGTGATCAAATGAAATATATTTGTACATTTGAAATTTTTATTTGAGTTTGTTTGTAGCAAAGTTATTTGGATGTTATCCTTTATCAAAACATCCCACAAAATCGAAATAATTGAATCATTCTTACACGAAACAAGAAAGTTATTTATCATAGTGATAGCTGCCTTAAAAATTCTAATAAAGTACGATAAACTTGTGTGATCACAATAGTAATTAATCTCTGTGTATGGTTACAATATCTCAATTGAACGTCCAAGTTTATAGACGCTTAAAAAGACAAATAGAATTTATTATCATTATTAGGTTATGGTGTTTATCTTTGTTATGGTACTAATCTTTGTTATTCAGAGATTATAATCTGAAATGAAATACAAACATTTGTACATTTAAGGCTTGTGTTCGCGTTCGTTTAGAGTAAAATTATCCAAATTGTTAATAGAAATTTATGCATGCTTGAAAAGACATGTGCGATTAATATAATTACTAAACTATGATCTGTAGTTTGTTTCTGACAATGCGTTACTAGATGCAACAAATATTTCTGCTTTTCAGACTTCTTGCGTTTATTTATAGTAAAATTATTGAAAATATTAATAGAATGTACATGTTCATAATCGCTTAACAAGACGACAAATTATTATAGTTATTAAACTATATACTACTTACAATAAGTCTCACACATCTGTTTGCGTTTGTTCGTAGAAAAATTATTAAAATTTTTGATAGAATGTTCGACTTCCTGGAGGTTTAAATAAACATATATGCGATCCAATTAATGTACCCAGAGGGCGCAATTATTAAA